TTGTAGCCCATCTACATCTATTTGTTTGACTTGTTCTCAAAAATTATCTTTAGTTACTTATGAAATTTCATCACACTGAGTTATTTTCCTTGGTGACAAATTTTGTGACAGAGAACACATGGACTTATTGGACCAATAAGCCTAGGTAGAATAAAAGTATTATACTTAAAGATGATACTCTAAGGACATGACTATTCAACCAAACCAAACTCAAACCAGCTTTCATATAAAGTATTTTCTCATCCTAGCCAGTGTGGCTCAGTTGGTTGGAGCATCGTCCATATACCAACCGGAAGGTTATGGGTTCGATTCTTGGCCAGGGTACATGCCTAGGTTCGGGTTCAATCCCTGGTCGGGGCTGTACTGGAAGCAACCAATTGATGTTTCTCTCTCACATCAATGTTTTCTCCCTCCCCTCTCTAAAATCAATAAGCCTGTCATTGGGTGAGTATTAAAAAATACATATGCATATTTTTTCTTGTATTACATGATTCTGAAATAGCATTTGGATTAGTTTTCTATTTTTGAGAATTTTTAATATAAGCATTTAATTTATTTAAGCCAATTAACTCTTTATAAACCAATTCTAGTAATATTCTCTCAGAGGTAGACATACATACACTAATACTAGATGTTACCAGAGACCTGATAGGTGTTTTTTTTTTTTTAATTTTAGTCATAAATAAAAGTTTAGCCATGAGACAGGTAAAATAAGGCAAAAACCCCACTCATTTATAGCAGTTGTGAGATCAGACAAGCAGTGAGTGTGGGCTGCCTGTCACTACTTGAGCCAGTTAAGCAGAGACAGGGTTGAATCATTAATGAGCATTTATTCCAATTATCCCAGCAGTGTTGGAGAGCAGCAGGTCATCCACAAAAATCTGCTCTGCGCCCCACCATGAGTCAGCCGCTTATGGGGTAGGAGGACAAAGTTTACTTGGGGAAGTAGGCAAAAGGAATAAGAATGGGTATAATGGTTACAGATTACAGGCAATGTGGGTTGGGGGGTTGCAAAGGGCAATGACAAGGTTAATCTTTCCATGATCATAGGCAGTTCTCCGATGTGAATAGACTTCATTCCAAGGTTAACTTCCTTGTCCTGGGGCATACTACTCTCAGTTAGGTTAGAATGTGCTTTCTCTAATCAGAACGGAATAATCCCGGTTAACAGAGCATGATTAATATTTCTTATAACTACAGCCAACAATCACGGTTAACAGATCATGATTCATATTTCTGCCCCAACAGTTGGAATAAGTTTATTTGTTCAGATTTTTTTCTTATTAATATTTGTGGAGAAGATGATTAAGATTTGTATTTGTTCTTGGCAGGGAGCCTTGGAGCCAGAGTAGCAGTTTGGGCTTTAAAAATCAAACACATAAATAACCGTCATTTATCTTTTTATTTTGATGGTAAAAATAGGTGGGCTCTGAACTACTTCTTGAGTTGCATATCTGGTTTCACAAAGATTTGTAAGATATGGACAACTGCTCTCTATTCCCCCAAGAATTTGTTTGTAAGTCAAGTGACATCATAGGTTGACCTACTGGCCCAACTACGTCATTCCACATTTGCTGCTTTCCCTCTGGATGCATAATTTATTTTACCTTGGGGGAGGAGGCTTTCTAAAAATTTTATTAGGCTCTGAATCTTTAGCTCCTAATTTTGCCAAGTTTCTGATTCAAAGTTATTAAGTCCTCTCAACTATGTTGTCAGGTTTCCGGTAGGAGAAACAGTGAGAAATTTTAAAGTGTCAGTTCAGATGCTACAAGTTCCTTTAGGATCCTTAGAGCTGTTTTGTTTTTTAAATTCATTTGTCTCAGAAACTTCTGCATATCAATCAAAGCGCGAGATTCCTTGTCCCTGGGAGGTTTGGAATCCTCCTCTTTAAGGGGGATGGGAGGTGCCTTGAGATCAACTTAAAGGTCTCCCTTTAAGTTTTAAATTGTTTTGGCTAAGTTGGTCCATTTTATTTAAAAAGGCAAAAGAGGAAGGACCAAAAATGTTTGAACATATAACTAGCTAGAGTTCCCAAGGAAGGAACTTTTGGGGATCTTTTAGAGCAGTGGTTCTCAACCATGGCTGCACATTAGAATCTTTTTAAAATCCTGATTTCTGGGCCTCATCCTCCGGAAATTCTGTTTTTTTGTTATGGGGTGGGGCCACAACATTAGCAACAAAGAAACAGAATTTCCGGAGGATGAGGCCCAGAAATCAGGATTTTAAAAAGAGTCCCAGGTGATTCTAATGTGCAGCCAAGGTTGAGAACCACTGTTTTAGAGGGTGAAGATCCATGTTCAAGATAAATTCCCCTAAAAGCTGTCAGGGGACCCCAAAAAGACAAAAGATGATAATAAAAGCCCCAGGTAGTTTGACTGCAGGGATCAAAAAGCCTACTCTTAGATGAGAGGAAAATTCTTGTTTTTGTGTTTTACATGGACATTAACAGCTTTAGCTAAGCCTTGGGTCTGTTGAAGCCAGACTAATACCTAAGGGGGATGTGCCTCTGGGGTGGGGATTGTGTGCCATTTTACAGCATTCCTGGATGCAGGGAAAGTTTTTCTGATGTTGGTGGGTGACCTGAAGTCAACCTAGGTCCTAACCAGTTCTGTGGCCAGACTTCAAAGACTTGGTACTAAAAAAGTGTAAAAGCTCCCATTAATAATTTTTATCTTGATCACATATTGAAATGATAATTTTATATTGGCTTAAAATGTTATTAAAATTAATTTCACCTGTTTCTTTTTAAAGAAAGTTTTTAATTGGTTTTAGAGAGAGAGGAAGGGAAAGGGAATAAAACAACGATGTCAGGGAAAACATTGATCAGGTACCTCCCACACGCTCCCCTACTGGGGGTAGAACTCACAACCTGGGTATGTGCCCTGACCGGAAATCGAACCAGGGACAACTGAGCCATACCAGCTAGGGCTCTTGTTACTGTTTTTTTTTTTTTTTATGAGAACCTTTACAATTACATATGTGGCTTGCATTGTATTGCTATTGGATGGTGTTGCACTAAGAAAGTCACAGAGTCTAAAAACATTAAATCTAAAAAGTGTTGACAAGTTTGGGAGTGGTGCACAGGGTCAAGTCCTAAACAGCTAAAGGTGGTGTCTGTTAGGTTGAGGCCAGAATGGTGAGGGATTACGAATTTACTCGATCATCCACACACCAGGTGGCTGAGCCTGGATGGCTCCAGCCCCCAGTGACGGGAATCAGCGGCTTTTAAAGGACTTTGGGTGGGCTTTTTCTGGGCGGAGACTTCTTTATGCAAACCCGGAGGGAGATAATGGAATGTAGTCACAGCAAATGAAATGTGGTCTCAGCAAAGGGAAGGGAATGTCCATAGTGAAATGACCTGAAAAGTTCCTGGGGGAGGGGTATCAATTCAATTACTTGATCAGAGGTGTTCTAAAGAAGTAGGAAGGTCCAGGCTCTTTCCTGTTATATCCAAACTAGAGGCCCGGTGCATGAGATTCGTGCATGGGGGGGGGGGGTCCCCACAACATGAGGAACTGTATTAAAGGGTTGCGGCATTAGGAAGGTTGAGAACCACTGTGATAGACCATATTTTTTCAGACATGCAACACATTTATTGAGCATTAAAACTGTCAGAAAAAAAAGAAAATTAAAAAAATAATACTCTGTCAGGCACTAGTCCAGGCCCTAGAGATGCTTCAGCAAATAAAATAAGACAAATGGAGCAGGCATCCTAAAGATACTCTAATGCTAAGTTGTGAATTACATGGGCTTCTGCCAAGTGCCCCTTACTTATGATGTGTTAAGTTAACCTTTGACTTGTAAGATATTTTATCTCCTCAAAGGGCTTGAGAATTTGCCTTCTTGCTTTCATTATGTTTATCACTTCCTCCCAAAAAGGAGGTGTATGTGTGGTGGGAAGGGAGTGGAGCAGCAATTTGCCGGGTATTTTCTCTTATTTCTTTCTGTTTCTGAGTTTTCATTGAGCAGGTAATCTTCTCCCACAGGAAACCTAGGCATGGAAACACTTCTTCCCTAATTGGATAGGACTCCACTGCTGCAATTACAGTGATTTGGGAAGTTAACTTTAATGAAACTACGAATCTTTACTCTAAAAGACTAAGTACTTTGGTACTCAAGTGTAGGTACTCCCAGGTGAAAACAATATACAGTTGACTCCTGAACAACACGGATTTATTTTAAAGTGGCAGAAGTTCAATTAACCCGCGCTGTTCAAACCTGCGTTGTTCAATGGTCAACTCTGTGGTTGGGAATCCAACTATGTGGGCGTAGTTATACCTGGATTTCCCACTGCACGGGGAGGGAGGGGCATTACTTATGGGTCAACAGCAGATGAAAAAAGTTTGCTAAGTTTTTTTAAGTGTTTCAGTAGTATTAAATTTGTGGAAGATTGTAAAGCCCTTCTTTGTCAGTTTTCATCCCTTGGGTTTTACTGTTTTATATCAAGGGTCAGCAATTCATGACAAGTATGTCACAGAGAGCCCTCAACTGGTTGCCAGGATACACTTCTCCTATTTGTCTATTATAAGAGCTAGATGCATTTGCTGCACTTCCCTTCAAAGGAATTCCCACAGTATGCTTCCCTGCTTAGGCATCTGTGACTCTTTCTGTCTCCACATCCCAGATGGATGCTAAATGGACCATTTACTCCATCACTATCAGCGTTTTGCCAGCTCTTTTATTCTTGGTTTTCTTATTCTCAAGAAAAATCTATGCTATTAATTGGTCGGCTCCTACATCTGGAGCCATTTTTGTTTTTAAAAAATAATTGCCTCTTTAGCTTTATCTTCAATAGTTTTTTATTTATATAAAGGGAAGTTACTTCTGAAGCTACCTTATAACTTTTATGTTTCTATTTGAAGAGAAAGTAGGACATCTTATGGCATTTCATCTAATTGGGCTTTTTCTATCCGTAAATAAGAACTTCAGTTGCTGAATAACTTTAAACACCTTTGCTCTTTGCCTGCATTTTGAACACAATATTGCAATATATTTTTCAGGTTTTCAATTCAAAAACAGCCGAACTACTTAGTCATCATCAAGTGGAAATAAAACAAGAGTTTCCAAGAGAAGGGTATGTTTCCTAATTTAATATGTAAACATATATCGCATTTCTTGGGCCATCTCACCCCACCTGCCCAGGGGCTTTTTAAAGTAAACTTGACCAAACACCTTCCTAAGAAGACTTGAGAGATGAGATAGGTATTAGTCAGGAAAATGAACAAAAACGTGGTAGCTCAGCAAAATATCTGGGTACTTGATGGCTTAGGAATTCAGTGACAGAAAAGAAGTGGATGATAAAGTAATAAAGCAATTATGTATTAAATATCAGAAATCCTACATTAACTTTATAGTCCTTTAATTCTGGGTCTGCATCATTGCCCAACTGCTGTTTGCTCATTAGAGTGTGTGTGTTTTTTTAAATAAAGATATGTTTTTCTAAAAAGCACTCACATATCTAATACTAAAATTGTCCTTTTTTACAGTAATGTTCATATGTAGTAATTGTGATTAAATAGAATGTTGAGTATATTAAACAGCCATTTTCAACTGGCGTGCTGCAAGAATTTTTAAAACATGAAATACCTGACTATTTAGTCAATGGCACTGACCTCTTTTCCCTTAGATTGTCAAATTAAAAAATGACAACAGCCAACACAATAAATGAATCAAAATCATACCTAATTTTTTTGTCAGATTGGCAAAAAATATTTATTGGCATGCTGCAGAATTTTAGTAATTAGTTTATGTGTGCCATGAGATGAAAAAGGTTGAAAATTGCTGGTTTAAAATTTTATGATATGTATGATACAGCCACTTTGAAAAATTGTGTGGCAGTTTCTTATAAAATTAACCATACTTCTGTTGCATTGCAACCTTAGGAGGACTTAATCCAAGAGCAATGAAAGCATATGACTAAAGAAAGACTTATAGATGAATGCTTATAGCAGCTTTATTCATAATAACCCAAACTGGAAGCAACCCAAATGTCTGTCATCAGTAGAATTGGTAACAATGCAATACTGTCCAGCACTTTTTAAGCAGTGATCTGATACATGCTACAGCATAGATAAATCTTGTTGATATCATGGAAAGTGGAAAAGGCTGTACATGAAAGAATGCATGCAGCATGGCTATATCTAAAATTCAAGAGGCTAAACTAATTTAGAATGACAAATCTAAAAATTTGTTGCCCATGGAGTATGTGATTGACATAAGAGAGCCATGAAAGAATTTCTAGAATGATGGAAACTTTCCATATTTTGACTGGGGTGTTGGTTAGATGAGTTGTATACATTTGTTAAAACTCAACCAATTGTGCACTTTAGATCTGTTCATTTCACGATAAAGTTTCCTTCAATTTAAGAAAGAGAAAAGATTGGTGTCCTACCAAATTTTATAATTTCTTTCTATGAATTCTTTCTGTTTTAAAGAATTCCTTTGTTTCGTAATAAAAGCTATTGATATGTTAGCTGCGTTAGAGTGACTCTCCACAGGCCCGATCCCAGTACAATTTGGAGAGAGGATACATGTGTCTTGGAGGGATGAAAATTAGAAATATGTTGAGAGATTGGGTTTCTGGAAAAAGAGTTTAGAGACAGAACTCAAAGCTCAAGAAGGCTAGGCTGGCCTGAGGAAGGCAGAGAAGAAAGGCATTTGGAACTCTCTTGCTACTTGCAGATCCTAGGGTAGGATTCTTGTAGCTTGTGTCATTTCTGCTTTTGGGTTTTCCTCAGTCACCATTGTTTCTCCCAGGTTTCTCTGCCTCATCATTTATTATGAGCCTTTCGACCTTCCGAGGCCCTGGTTCCTTACCAAAATTGCACTGGGATTGGGTCTGAAAATTGGGTTTGACCAATTGCTTGTCTACTTGACATAGTTATTAGAACACATTTCCAATTTTCCCTAAATACTAACAAAACATTTCGAGGGGAAAAATGGCAAAATAGATTAGTATACTTATTTGACTTTTCAGAATTCCTTTTGATAGGTAGGTAGATATCAGTCTACTTAGAAATAACTAAGAAAAGAAAGAAATAGTGACTAATGAAACATGCAGATAGCTTTATCAATTTATCAAACCCAGGGGATATAAAGAATTGGGGAACTAATTTCTTACTGGATTTGAAAAAATAATTTTAAAATAGGTAGAAAATTTGTTATTTTGTGACCTGTTATTACTTGCTTCCTTTCAAATGATTGATTACTATATGAAGAATAATCAAAATGCAAATGAATATATGCAATAGAAAGCAAGTCAGCAATTGGCAGGGTAGGAAGGAGGGATTTCAAAGGGGCATGAGGCAACTTTCGAGCATGATGAATATGTTAATTATTGGATGTGGTGGTGGTTGTGATGGTTTCATGGGTATTTGCATATGCCCATTGTACATATGAAATTTCCACAGCTTACTGTATCAATTATAGCTCAATAAACTTTTTACATTAAAAAAAGGTAAGGGAAGTTAAAATAGGCTTTTCTTTAAATCATTTCTTTAGAGTATTGAATATGCTTTGCTTTGCTCATCTGATTTTAATTTATGCAACAGCCACACTCTCTTAAGTGAACATTTCTAGAGATATAAATGTATTGCTTTCTTGTGGACTAACCAAATGCATTCTTTTGTTCAAAGATGGGTGGAACAAGACCCTAAGGAAATTCTGATGTCTGTCTATGAGTGTATAGAGAAAACATGTGAGAAACTTGAACAACTCAATATTGACATTTCCAACATAAAAGGTATTTTTAATAGAATATTTTTCTCCGTGGTATGATTATCTCAATAAAATCTATTAATTAATTAATTCATTCATTTCATTTATTTGGCGCATAATTGAGTACCTATCCAGCGCCAAGCAGGTCCCTGTTCTCATGAAGCTTTTATTTGCGGGGGGGGGGGGGGGGACCATTAACAATAGAGCAAATACAAGCTAATTTCAATATTGATAAGTTCCATGCAGAAAATGAAACTGTTCTATGGTAGGGTGTGCCTAGAGAGGCTTTCTTTAGATTGGATGGCCAGAGAAGGCCTCTTTGAGGAGATGACACTGTTACCGAGGTCTCAGGCCAAAAGGGGCCAGCCATGCAACTATTTGGGGGAAGAGTAGTTGAGGAAAAGGAAGCAGCACATGCAAAGGTCCTGAGGTAGGAATAAGCTTGTGGCACATTCCTGGATCAAAGAGAAAGCCAGCATGTCAAAAGTGGAATAAAAGATGGGTGAGGGGTGAGGGTGGGTATATAGGTAAGAGGTTTCAATAGCAGTTGAAACCGGGGAAGTAGCTAGGGCTTTAGGAGTTTGGATGTTATTTTTTCCTCACCGAGGCTATTTTTCCATTGATTTTTAGAGAAAGTGGAAGGGAGGGTAAGAGACAGAGAGTGAAACATTGATGTGAGAGAGACACATCAATTAGTTGCCTCCCACATACGCCCTGATGGAGAGGCCAGGATCTAGCCTGCAACCAAGGAAGGTGCCCTTGACCTGAATCAAACCTGAGACCCTTCAGTCCATAGGCCGACACTCTATCCACTGAACCAAACCAGCTAGGGCTTGGATGTTATTCTTAGGATCACAGAGAGCCATGAAAAGGTTTCAAGGGATGACAGGATCTGACTTGTGGTTTAAAGACAACTTCCTGACTGCTATGTGAAGCCGTGTGGAGAGTGGATAGTAGAGGCCTAAGTTGGATACAGGGAGACCACAGTAGAGGTTGCTGTGGAAGTTTTGAGAGAAAGGATGATGGCAGTGAGGGTGGGGAGAACGGGCCAGAACTTCTTGATGGATTGGCTGTCAGAGTAGTAAAGAGAGGATGGGGAAGATGGGTCGAAGATGATGCTTGGGTTTTTGCTAGAGCTTTTAGATAGATAGGGATGCCATTTCCTGAGGAGAAAGACTAGAATGAGGAGCAATAGGAGGGAGGGGAGGTTGTTTGAAATAAAAACACTTTGCTTGTAAAATCTCCCTAAAAATAATGGTTTGAGAGTGTTAGACTATTTCAGATCTCTTTAATTCCTAGTAGTTTTAATAGAAAAACTACCTAAGTTTGGCTTTGCATCATTTATACAGTGAGAACAAAAATAACCCAGTCATCCAAAATTGAGAAAGTAGTGTAAAGGGTAGAGCATAATGTGGTAATCGCCATATCTTTGTAGTTTAAACTTTTCAAGTTCATCATCCAAGGGCTATATTTTTCTTCATCAACTCAAGGTGGGTGAAACCATCAGTTGGTGATGGCAGTGTCTTGAGATTCACATTATCATTCTTGGCACTGAGATTTACCAGCATTCCTGAGATGAAACTTTGATTTTTTTCAGACTTTCCCCTATTGGTATATTTTAAAAACTCACTAAAAAAGACAAACATAATCAAACCATTCATTCAGCAAACCTATGTGCTGGGTGTGCTAGGGAAACAATGGAACACAAATAGTATTGTGCAGCTAACGGTTAAGTGGAGGAAACATGTGAATCCAATAATCAATAATTATAAATTAATGGAAAGTTGTAACAATAAGATAGTTATGTCTGTTATTGTAGACTTCTTAAAGAGAAACAAACACCCTTATGTAGATTTGCTATTTTGTTAAAATATATTTTAGTGATTTCAGAGAGGAAGGGAGAGGGACAGAGAAATGGAAACATCAATGAAGAGAGAATCATTGATCGGCTGCCTCCTGCACGCCTCACACTGGGAAGGAGCCCACAACCCGGGCATATGCCCTAACTGGGACCTCCTGGTTCATAGGTCGATGCTCAACCACTGAGCCATGCTGGCCAGGTGACATTTTTTAATATCTTAACCTCATTTTATCCCTCTAAGTGGCAGTGTTTCAGACTTTTTGGAGTTGCATTCATCAAGTTTCAGATGAGTTGTGCATCGAAGTGATTGTTGATCATTTCCTTGAATTGTTCTCACAGCTTTCATAGTCTAAACAGGGCGAACATATAAGAGACATTCAGCAGCACACTCTGATGTCAAAACATCCAAAATCACCTAGGTGGCCATGCATTGGATGTAGATTCCAGGGCGATTTGCCATGGTTTTGACATCATTCTACCTCCTTTAAAGGTAAGGTAGGCAACTTATCGGCCCCCTGTTTTTTGTTTTTATTATTATTTATTTTGTTGATCCTCACTTGAGGATACTTTCCCATTAAATTTTAGAGAGAGAAAGGGAGGAAGACAGAAAGAAAAACATCGATGTGAGAGAAACACATTGATTGGTTGCTTCCTGCATGCACCCTGACCAGGGCCAGCGATCGAGCCTGCACCCTAGGTACATGTCTTTGACTGGAATCATACCCGCGACCCTTCAGTCTGCAGGCCGACACTCTATCCACTGGGCCAAACCAGCTAGGTCTTCCAGGCCTTCTGTACCCACTCAGGTACCATTCCCTTTTCTCTTGTTTGTGGTGTATGTGAAGATGACATACAATTCCAATCCAAGTGACTTGTCTTTCACTTGCAGTAACTGATCTGGAAGAACATTGAACATGCTTCTATCTGCTCTACACTCCTGTCTGGCCAGTGTGAAACCCATAGCTGAGCCAAAGTGACCCAGCACTATCAGCCTATGGCCAAGGAAGAGAATGTCCACAAGCCCCTCCATACCAAGCCAGTGTGCTCAATGCCCCACCCCCACCCCTGCCAGATAATTTATTAATTGGCTCTGCCAAGGACCAAGCTTTTGCTTGCCTATATAGAACAATACATCACAGAATGCTAATGCTATAAAGGATCTTCGGTTACTAAGACCTAGCTGCAAATGAGGGAAAGGGACTTATTGCAGATCATGTGGCTGTGCAGTGGTTAGATGACATTAAATCACAGCTCCCCTGTCTCACAGTCCCGTGCTCTCTTTCCTGAGCCACACTGATAACCTCACAAACTTTGTTTTATTTTTTTTAATATATTTTTATTTCAGAGAGGAAGGGAGAGAGAGAAACATCAATGATGAAAATCATTGATAAGCTGCCTTCTGCATGCCCCCTACTGGGGATTGAGGCCACAACCTGGGCATGTGCCCTGATCAGGAATCGAGCCATGACCGCCTGGTTCACAGGTCACCTCTCAACCACTGAGCCACGCTGGCTGGGTATGAGAAGCTATTTCACTGGACTTTGTAAGAAAAACAATTTCACTTGGCACAAAGGAATTAAGATAGAGGGGAAAGGAGTGGTCAGGGAAGAACCTGTGACCAACGAATCAAATGGAAATAGCTCCAGATTACATTCTGAATCCTAGTTAGAATGAGCCAATAAAGGTAATATGAGGGACACAGAATAGTGACTCATGGATTGTGGCTAAGGGAGCAGCCAGCCTGTAGTGGGGAGCAGTGGGAGATTTTAGTAGACCATGAATTCATTCCTAGCCACCATTGTAAAGTTGTCACATTCACAGTAGTACGCTTTAGCAACCTGTGACCGAGGTCCCACTGAGGTCTCTAGCCTCTGTTGTGCCCATAGTACTATCAGGGAATTCATTCCTGCTTTGCCTAGTCCCCATTCTCTGTAACTCTTAATCCACTCTCCTCAATAATGATGACGATGAATAGTAGCAGTAAGTAACATTTATTGAGTGCTTACTATGTGCCAGGCACTGTTTTAACATGCAAATCCTGTAAAGTGGGAACTGTTATGCCCATTTAACAGAAGATAAAACAGACCAAGGGTCCCCCTGCTAGGAAGCAGAGGAATTAGAATTTCAACCCCAGGAGTCTGGCTTCAGAGTCTGAGCTCTACTGAATAGTGCCCCAAACTTGTGATACAGCTTTTTCTAGGTCCCATTTGAGCAAATGACCGTAGCCTTCTGCCCTACTTGAGGCTCCTCCCTCCACCTGTGTATTAATCTCATCCCCTCCTGTCATTAAGAGGATCAGAACCATGTCCCATTGATTCCCAGCCTTGCTCCTCCTGCTCCCCATTCTCCTTTCTCTCTTTTTTTAAAAATATATTTTTATTGATTTCAGAGAGGAAGGGAGAGGGAGAGATAGAAACATCAATGATGAGAGAGAATCATTGATT